TACCGTGTCATCATCTTGATTGGTATTATCAAACCAGTAGTTAGGCCCTCTTATTTCTGCCCAACTAGGCAAAGCTAAGATATCATCTTTAAGTCCAGGATGTTGAGCAATTAAATCCCATCTATTCTTAATGGTTCTTACTTCTACCCAGTCTAGTTCATCCCATGACTTGACGTTAATATCATAAAATGTATCAAACACATTACACACAGATATCTCGACAGATCCGGTGTATATTACCTTCCCTTGGTATACCTCTCTGGCGTCTCCATGATCTGTTCGCCAAGAAGTCTTAAGGAACGATGATCCTAGAACGAGGGCGTTTTCTATAAGATCTTCAGCTTTGTTGTTTAATCTCTGGTTGTCAACAATCTGCTCCAGAACAGCGTTAGATAATTTCACATCTTGAATGATGTCTTTACCACTGGACTGAGCCATAGCATGAAAAGATAGGCGATCTTTGGTTATCAGGTTAATAAGCTGTCTAATTAAGTTCCTAGCTTTAGGCGTATAAAACTTAAGAAGCTCACCTTGCACACCTTCGTATACAAAAGATGTGTCCCACGAAGACGGGTTAATAACCGCACTATGATAAGACAAGAAATTCCTAACCCAAGACTCACGTATAGGGCTGGTGTTCCATAGACCCCATTTATTATGATACGTTTCCAAGTGGCCTATTGCCTCATCCTTGGAATCTTTTAACCAGTATGTTTCTGCTGAACCTTCACCCATTATGTTGCCACTCTTTCGCCGTAAGTCTGCACAGCAACGTTGATAGCTTGTATGTCCAATTTATCCCCGGCTATGCGATTCACAATAATTGGTTGAAAATACGTTGACCTTTGAGCATCCCTAGAGACATACAGTCGGCATATAGAAGATGGCAACGTTCCTAAGTCTAAAGAATTTGATTGAGGACTTCCCCATGCTCCTTGACCCCATTTAAACTTGCCCCACTGAGTTCCTGGGTTAGCAGCCACCCACTCTTGAACCCTGCTATCTTCATAGCTATCAGAGGAAAAAGATACATCTAAGGCCGTAGCTGCGCGGTTTCTTGAGTGTATTTGAAGCTGACTAAACTGCTTTAATATACCAACGTCTCCAGCCGTATAAGGAGCTAACTTAACCGTAGAACTAAACGCTTCGTAAATTATTAGAGAATCTGCATCAGCTAAGTTACTCTGCCCAAAGAAAGTTACCGTAAATATACCCGGAGAATCCTGAACGACGGTTTGTACTATATTAACCTTGCCGTCCTTGGATATTAAGTCCCCATACTGTATGTCATATGAAGTTGATTGTATCACAATTTCAGGATCATTTGAAACATCTATGACAATAATGTCATGATTATTGTTAGTAAAATCAGTTTTGAGATTATCTTTTCTTTCTCTGCTAATAGTTCCTTGAACCGTATTTACTTGATACATTCTGTTATCTGGACCAAGAGCCGCCGTAAAGAAGTTATCGTGGGAAGATGTCCATGTATTGGTCAGAATATTGTAATTAAGAGTAATAACGGTTCCGTCGGGCTGTAAAGTTGTAAGCTTATACAACCTTTCAATATCATAACTAAATCCAACTGATACCGCGGGTAGGTCAGCCAATGTGGTAGACGGTTGAATTACGTTCTCTATTTGTCTGCTTATTATTTGAACTGAGGTATCGGATACTAAACATATGCCTTGATTACTGAGAAGAGCAATTTGGTTAGCGAAGGTTACGGATGAGTATCTACCCACGGTAATGATAGTGCTATCTAGAAGACTCACTACAAAGTTAGAGGGGTTATCCCCAGTAAGTCTAAACACACCATCTTCTTTGAGTACTATCAAGCTACTGGTTAGCGTGTGTACTTCTAATATCTCAGAATTAGCACTACCTACAGGTATGAAGTTAACTATAGGCACAGCTTCTGGCTCTTGCAATTTACTAAAATAAAGAACGTTAATTTGAGATGGATTAGCACTAAATACTTGGTCTGGGGAGGTTGTAAAGACTGCCATAGGCGGGAAGAATACACCCTGAGTAGTGGAGTCTGAAACTGTTAAGAATATAGGGTCAGTGAAATCCTTAGCCCTCAGTCGTATATTTCCTGGGGTATCTATGGGGGAGCTAGTGTAATCCGCATATACTAGGCTGTCAGTATCCCTATTAATAGCTCTAACTAAATAGTTTGCTGTATCTCGTCTTTGTTCTGCAGGTGTACCAACCGAAGAATCTGCGTAGAATACAGAGTTAATCGTATCATAAGTTAAAGTCTGTCCGCCGCCTAAGCTATCTAAATCCACTTCATCAAATGTAAAATTATCGGAATCAATTACAGATGTTACCGTGTAAAGATTATCGGATACATTAGGTGTACCACCTGCTGAATTATCGACATAAATAACCAGACCTTGTGATAGTCCGTGACCAACTTCTGTTACGGTAACTACATTATTTTCTCTAACCCACACCGCACCTGCAACCGCCCCATAAGGCTGAGTTAGGATAGAGAATAGAGCTTCGGTAGGAGATCCCGCAGCCGCATAAGTAATTGCAGTGGATGCCTGCCAGTCCGCGAAGGTTTCGGCTATTTTAAAATTATCTGCATCTATATATAAAACGTAATAAGTACCAGATGCTAGAGTTCCATTATTACTATTAACAAAAATTGTAGATGGACCTGTTGATGGTATTCCATGAGCCGTGTAAGCAAATGACACATCTCCACCCGAATCAGACAAAACAGCTGAGACTTCTTGATTTCCAGGAGACGATTTAGCTACATATCTATTACTGAAAGATCCTATTGTTACTTCTAAGTAAGAGAAATTATCTACCAAATCCTCAGGAGCTGTTACGGCAAATTGAACCAGGTGTCTATTCACGCAATTAGCATAAAACATATGGTCTTGATAAAGAGCTAATGAAGTACATAGCGGTGGCCTGAAGTTAGCTTGTAGCTCACCTTCACCAGAGTTCTGATTGGTGTATAATAATTCACCCTTAAATAGCTCTGCATTGTTATCGTTATAGTTGACAACTTTCGTGTCTAGCTCGTCTTGAGTTAGTGTATTTTCTACAATGAGCTTGTAGTCACTCTGCACACCTACAGATATAAGTTGCTGATCCGATCGGTATAACCTATAAAACCATCCAGTTTGTATGTTATCTGATATCTGACTAGGAACCGTAAAGCTGAGTGCGGTTTCCATAGCAAAAGCGTATTGAATAGTACCAGTTGGACCTGGATCGTTAGTCACATCATAAGTAAAAGTATCAGCGGTTAATACGGTTATGCTGAAAAATCCCTCTGCATTATCGTCAGTCGTCCATGAGGCTGCCCCTAGCATCTGCAGATTCATACCAGTAGTAAGGCCGTGAGAGATAGATGTAACTGTAATAGTGTAAGGACCGGCTCCAGCTGAAGTTCCGGAACCTTCAACCACAGGATTGTTTATAGTAAATATACCAGATGGAGCGCCAAGGATAAGATTGTCATTAGGGTCTGTATATCCAAATAAAACCCTATATCCAACAGTCTTTCCAGTAGGGTCGGATGTGCTTATATCCCACCAGTTGGCCGAGGTACCTATATCGTAACTACCAAATAAATCTAAGGCAGGTGGGGCTCCTGCTTGGAATATACTATCTTCTACTGAGCCGAGCTTAAGTATTCCATCATCACTAGTGAAGTATAAGTTACCGTTGGACTGAGCAAACTTAGGTCTCTCTACTTCTGTGAAAGAAATATCCACGGGAGTATCAAATGAAATAGCTGTATTGGAACCTGTTAAGTTTGGTTCAGTACCTGTATCTTGTAAATATCCTACGGACTTGGTGTAAAACGCTACTAGAAAATTATCAAATGAAGTTAGCCCTACAATAGGATCTGCTGATTCGTAATAATCATACTGACCGCGTATTTTACTAATGGTATTAGTATCTTCAATTATTACATTCTCAGCGCTCTCTAACGCACCAGCCGGCAAGTCGAAAGTATTCTCTTGAAAATATAGACCCTTAAAGGACTTTATTTGGTCAAACTTCATAGATTATTGCCCATATAACCACGATCTTTGATTACTTCTATTAGACCGTGCTAGACCCCAGTAATTGACGATGATAGTTGATTCACCATTTATTCTAGGTTCCAGTATAATCTTGAGATTAGTTCTTTCTCTCTCTGCGTCTTCATCTAGAACTTTAATTCCTTGGTAATCAGATATTGCCTGCAAACATCTTCTAGAGGTCAGAGTTTCTACAAGTGGCAAAGCCTCATTCGGAATAAAGTTTAAAACATACGACTGTCCTGAAAGTGAAATATAATCACCAGCTCCTAATTGACTAGGGATGTCATCAGCAGATGCAAAGGTTATCGTAGGAGTTCCGCCAGGAGTTACCGAATCTATAGTAACATCATAAGCGTAGATAGTAGAACCAGACTGACCTTGACAGAAATCAACATCCACACCCGCAACTAGACTAGAAGGTAACGCGTCAACTGTAATTACATTGCTAGCAATGGATACTACTTTAGATACATCTGCTCTCTCAACTAGCTGGTTAGGTGGCAATCGATACCAAAGAACCATAACTGGCGGAGTAGATCCAAAAGACGCAGGAACATCCGGAACTAAGCGGATATTATCACCTTCGAAGTGAAACCCCACGGTCGTATCCCAACCGTAGTACATATTGCTGTTTTCAATAGATACGAGAGGGATGTTTCTATAGTTGTTTTCCCCTTCATATCTAAGCTTTATTTCTCGCAACGCACGGGCTACCGATCGATAAGGGACTGAATACGCACTTTGACCACCAACTAGAGGTATCTCTATACGCTCCACAAAGTAGTCTTGGTTAGTACTTTCTAAAATAGGGATAAGCTCAGACCGAACAATACTATCCGCAAAAGACAATATGTCCGTATCTAGCAAAAGACCCTGAGTCCCAGGGTTACTTATCCTTCTATTTACGCCCGAGATGATATCATCTGCTGTAATTGCCATCTACATTCCCGCTTTTCGTTTTTTTCTACCTCTTTTTTTACGAGGCGCTTCTTCGCCAGATCTAGGCTTTCCAGTCTCCATGTACATGACTTTAGCTTTTTTAGACGCAATTTCTTCTGGCTCTACATGACCACCTAAAAAATCTTTGAGATCCGACTTAATGTCATACTCTTCATCTTCTTCGTGGTCGTCTCTGTCTGCATCAACATCATCTTCTAGGCGCTCTTTTTTCTTATGATGACGGTCTTCATCCTCATGTAGATCTTCCATTGGATGCTTGTCATCATGCTCTTCACGATACTCATCGCCCTTGCCATCGTCCCACTCATGATCCACGCGTTTATCATAGACCTCATCATCATGGTCTTGATCTTTAGCGTCGTCGTGCATACGATCGTTCAGCATAGCAATAAGCCGCTTTAGCTGATCTCGTTTAGCTTTATCCTTAATTTCTGCTAACATATTAAATCCTTTATGTGTAGTTTCCTTTGATGACGGTTCGCCATTGATCATTATCTACATCGGCAATCAGCATAATATATGCGTTGTCATCCGACAAAACTACATTAGGATTACCATCAATAGTCTGTGCGCCGTCCGGAGTTATCGTTATATTGTTGGTCGCGGCATCACCCGTACCATCCTTGATAAACAGTACCTTTTTAGCACTTAGAGCCTCCAAATTAACAGCCACAGCAGCAGGAGCGTCTAACTGAACTATTATAACACAATCTGCTTCAACGGTTGTATATGGAGTAGAGGTTACTACATTTAGAGAAAATCTTTGAAAAGTAGTAGATTGAGCACCATCAGCTAAGGCCAATAGAAAATTGGATAACGAACCCCAGTTTAGATCGCCAATAGCGGGGATGTCATAATTAACCGGAACGGCGTTAACCTGTCCGCTTGGCCATGTCTTCCCAGTAGACATAAATTAATCCCTATATACCACATTATAGCATGAAAAAAGGGCAGAGGGCCTATACGACCCCCCGCCATGTTTCAACTAGATCTAAAGCTCGTCATTGATCCCGCTGATTCTCAAGTTTTGAGCAGGAGCATGGCAGAACAAGTACTGATCCGCGTAGCTTCTGAATGCATAACCTGCCTGATTCTCAAGCGGGAAGATGATTTCATGAGGCATACCGGGGACAGTGAAGCTTACATCTGCTGATCCTGATCGACTCCATGTTGGAAGGTTGATAGCAAAGGCATCACCCTCTTTTACACAGCGACTTGGCATCATGGTAATCTTACCAGTCTGTGAGTAGTAAGTGATCTTTTCCCACCCCGCCTCATCAGTATCTTGAGCATAGCTTGAATCGTAACGCCGTAGAGCAGCATCATTGTTACTCAGTGTAGCCCAAGTTCTTGGGTTCATGAGCATTGTTAGGTCACCCTCCATTCCGGAGCGGTTAACCATGTTCGCGATGCCTTCTTGTAGGTTGGACAAGCTAAGAGCGGTAGTATGGTTCAAGTCTAGCTGAGAACCCTGCCATAAGCTGTAGTCAGCTGTGTTAATACCAAACAAGCTACCAGTCTGAGTACTCAAGATCTTATCTAGACCAATGTAGTCGTTCGCTGTTTGCATACCGTCAAAACAAACTCGAAGATCAGAAGTTGTTGCCTTACCAGATGCTGCTAGTGCGGTTGCGGCTGTTGGAACAAAGTCTACTACGATATAGCCGAACTCAGAGTTAACGCTCACTAGAGAACCAGAAGCAGATACTACACCCGTAGAATCAACCTCAAGGACCTTAAGACCTTCCATGCCAACCCAAATACCACTGGCAAAAGATCCCGGAGCTAGCAAGATCGCATGACGACCGCCAGAAACAGGAGCTACACCACCAGTGAAAGTAAGACCGTCAAGAACACCGTTACCAGTAGTAAAAGTCTCACCTCGGTATTGACCTGTGAAGTAACTTACATACCCAAGTAAAGATTCTGCTTGTCCGTATAGTCGTATAACTTCTTGGAACTTCTCGTGTGATTTAAGGTTGTTACGTACAACAAACTTAGTAGCGTCATAGAAAGATCGAACACCACCACCGGCTGATCTAGAAATTGTGCTCCATGGAACAATAGAAGCTAATACTGAGACGAAAGGTTGAACTGAAGCTTGACTTACCACACCAGCACGAGGCGGGTTAAGGTCAAAAGCACTAGCTGACGAACTGAATGTAATACCAGTTTCACTAGAAAGGACTACCGCTTCGACGTAGCTTTCACCCACTCGCTGTTTTTGAGAGAATGGAATAAGCTTAGAAAGGAGCTGATCCTTTGGTGTGAGGTCAGTTAAGTCACCGTATACTTTTTTGAAGAGATTGATTACATCTGCACTTGATACACTAGCCATTATATAAATTCCTTAAATTTAAATTAAAAAAACAACTGAAAACTAAACTGCTTCCCAAAGTATTTCTATGATCTGAGTAGCATCGGTACTAGCTGAAATCCCAGCCGCCTGGCATATCATTCCCAAATTACCAAACTCTCCAGTTTGCACTTGAGTTACACCCACAGAGGCATCCAACAGAGGAACAGCGTCAGCCGAAGACTCTCTAATAACTGTCCCCGCTACCCCTGCCTGTGCAAAAGAGGCTCCTCGTGCTGTAAGAACTTGACCACCCATATTAATCAATATAACCATCTGATCACCGCCAGTAGTTACAGTAGCAAACTGGGATACTAAAAATTCATCGGTAGTACCCAGATGAGCGTCAATGGTAGCTTGATCAATATTATTAACATCCCAGAAAGTGATAGCACAGCTGTTGCGAGGTACCGGGTAGGTAACTTCAGCTACACCTTCGTGATTCCTGATTAAAGTTAAACAACGATGATCTGTAAGGTGCATTTTTGGATTAAAATATTGCAAACTTGTAGCATTAGACATTAATACCTCCCTTCTTATTTGGCTTTCCAATAAACCTCTAGTGTTAACAATCCAGTCCCAGCAGTCTCCAAACCGGCCATTATAGTAATTAAAGCTATATTTCCTTCACTACCCAAGGCCACCTGGTTATTAAGAACCGTACCATCTATAGCAGGTAGGGGCATACCTAAGGCTTGAACAACTGCAGTACCTCCAAAGTCCAGAGTTGCCTTGAAGCCAAATACCTGGTCTGCTTGTCCACCCATGTTTATGAGAACTCCATAGGCGTCAGCACCCATAGAGGTAGCGTTAAAATCTGCTACATCAAACTCATCGGTGGTACCTAGAAAATCGTCAATCTCTGACTGGGTAGTTAGAGGGCCAAAGAAACCCAATGTTCCACCAGCATCTGGGATAGGCACAGCTGTAGCTACCCCGGTCATCTCAAAGATAACATCTACCTTCCGAGCGTCAACGTCAGCTAAGTCAGGGCTATAATAGCTTAATCCACTTGAATTAGTCATATCAAACACCCTCCCCTTTATTATGGTTTTTAACTATGTTCATTTAGGGCTCCAGTAAATATCTAGGATAATAGTTGCTGGATCTAAAGCTTCCATTCCGGCTGCTCTTCCGATTAGAGCGATGTTACCTTCAGCTCCTACCGCAATCTGATTGTTAGCAACATCAGATATAGCAGATACCTTAGCGCCCAAACCTTTAAGAGGCTCCCCGACTCCAGGTGCTCCTTTCTGATTCAAGGCCATCATTGTAAAAGCGTGAACATCTGCACACTGCCCGCCAGTCTTAATCAGAATTCCCACCCCGTCAGTAGCCATTGAAGTAGCTCCAAACTGAGTAAATAAAAATTCATCGGTAGTGCCCAGGAAATCATCGATCTCAGCCTGGTTGCTTAATGGACTCCAAAAAGCTGTCATTGCATTACCAAGAGGCTGTGCGGGAGAAAAGCTAGGAGTAACCCCAGTTTTCGCCAACACCAAAGACAACGTATAAACGTCTGCCTTTTCTACCTCCGGCGCGTAATACGCTAAACTAGATGGTATTGTCATTATTCATATCCTCATCCTATTCTCTTTTCCAATTGGTCGAAGAAACTACCTACATCAACCGTCTCTCTAGTCCTTCTTGAAGCCTTCCTATCTGACGACCCCGTGTTATACTCAGGGAATTGAGATAGTGCGGTATCCAGTTCGGACTTACGCAACTGATTTAATTGCTCTTTACTGAGGTATTTAGTTAAATCAGAATGGCTTATGTTTTTAACATAGCTACCGATTCTGTTCTTCCAACCCCTCAAAGCAAAGTCTGCTGCTTGTCTTGTATTAATCCTATCGGCTCCATCGTCGAGTTGCGATAGCATCATTCTTGCTACATCCTGAATAAACTCAGGCGTGTTTACTATATTACCATGTTCTTTCTGCATGTGTTCTATTACTTCGCTAATTTCTTCATCAATTTCATGCGAAACTTCTTCATTAACTTTAGTAACTATCTGCTCTTGTTCTTTCTTTGAATACTCTTCTAATTCACTTTTATATTGGTCT